AGATTCTAACCATTTTATTGGCGCCTCTTTTGCTCCTCAGTAAACAAAACAAGCTTATTTCTACAATGTTGCTATATATATATATATATATATATATAATCTCTTAAAATGAGTAATATTATTTTTGTTGAATTGAAAGAGCTCCCATAACTTCTTAGTCAATTCTCCTAACAAGTCTAACTTAGTAGGTATAAAGGTTCTAACACATGGAGCTTTGAAAATTTTAGCTCATTTTTTCTTCTCATTTGATAACATTTGGAATTGTTAGTATGCGAAGCATTTGCTCTATTGGAGAATATATTGAAGTATTGATTCTTTTTTCTGACACAATTGGCATAGAACTCCTTTTTTTTTTGTCTTTTATGTGTTTTTGTGAGATATATTTTTGGCAATATTCTAATTTTAAAATCTATAAGTAATGATAAGTTATTTAGCAAAATAAAATTTATAATTCACTTATCATAAAATGATCTATGATTTCATTTTGATGCATGCCAGAAATTTCGCGGCGGGAGAGTAATGGATTATTGTATTAGCGTTGCACGAGAATTCAACACACACAGATAACAGAAGAGAAATAAGCAGGAGGATACACCTCGACTTTTTACTTGAAAAACATTTGAAAGAGGGAAAAACCATGGGGTCTAGCCCAGTTGAAATAATCCACTATGAATGATGAGCCCGTGGTTTTTCCCTCTTTCAAGGGTTTTCCATGTAAAAAGTCGAGGTGTCTCCTCCTGCTTACTTCTCTTCTGTTATCTGTGTGTGCTGAATTCTCGTGCAACACTAAGACGATAATTCTGTTATCTGTGTCCACTACGAATTTTCTGGCATGCACTAAGACGATAATTCATTACTCTACCACCGCGAATTTGCTGGCACGCATCAGATTTGACTTTATATGATCAATATAGTAAAATAAAATTTATAAGCTATTTAGTATATGATCTATTTATTTGAATTTATAGTGCAAATATCTCTAATTAAATTAAATGTGATATATATTATCTGATAATTATTTACATATCTCCGCCTAAACTTTCATATTTATATTCATAGCACCCAAATCTTTAAATTACATCAAAGTTATTATTTATCGGCTTGTTTGTAAATTTCCTTTTTTTTAAAAAAAATTACATCAAGATTTGTGTTTAACTGAATAGATATTTTTATTTGATTTAATATCCTCCGAAAATATATTTTAAGTCTTCGAAAATAATCACAATACAAAATTAAAATTTGAAAAATAAATAAAATGCACGATCAACACTTAGATATCAACTAATGTTCGTGTCATATGTTTTTAAGAATAGAAGTATCTTATATCCGTGTTGTACGTATATGTATCCCCATGTTCATATTCGTGTAACGTGGGAGTTGACTATTTAAAATTCAAGGACCATCCTTCATCAATTTTTCAAATTCTCACTCAAATTTTAAAAATTTAAGAATGATAAAATCCCAACTCCAATTTTTTATATTTAACAAATTCACAATGATTTGATCGTGACAAACATAAATACATCACTTCGATAGTTCAAATAATTACCTTGAGGCTAGATTTATAAATATTAATGTTTTGAGGGCTCCTTAAAAAAATATTTATGTTACATACTTTTAATAGTGAATCACATCTATATATTTATAACACTAAAATGTTGTATATGTAAATATGAATGTTTGGATAATATATGTGTAAATATATAAAAATGGAGTGGCACGTCTGTAAATTTCCCAAAAAAAGATGGATGGATTTCGGGCGGGCCTAGTGGCACGTCTGTAAATTTGCCACTGAAAATTTGAAAATTAGCAGTGCTGATATTAATGAAATGTAGATGAACCACATCATGCGTTATCTTCCTAATGAATAATAGCAATTTTTAAGTAACAAAATAAAAAATTGAATAGTTTTGATAATATGATATTTGATTTTTCATAGTTTCAATTAATTTTTATGTCAATTTGTATAACAAAAATGTGTTAGATTGAAACTTTGATGGGAACGACCCAGCCTGGACAACTGAATGACAGCTTGGACGACTGACACAACGTGGGCGACTGATCGACAACCTGCACGATCGATTGACAACCTAGAGAACCGACTCGACATGGACGAGCCTGAAGTCTGAAACTGGCCGAGCCATGAGCTCACTTATGTAAAATAAAATGTGTTAGATTGAAACTTTGATGGGAACGACCCAGCCTGGACAACTGAATGACAGCTTGGACGACTGACACAACGTGGGCGACTGATCGACAACCTGAAGTCTGAAACTGGCCGAGCCACGAGCTCACTTATGTAAAATATTGAAAATAATATGTACAACCACCCTCATTAAAACAATGTTAGAGATGTAATTTTACTTTATTGCCCTACCTCTACAGTAAATATTAAGGTTCTTACATGTAAGAGGGACTTTTCAGTCTCTCCCTTCCCCGTATATAAAAATTATTTGATTATATAGAAAAGGTCACAAGAGCCTGAAAATACTTTAGTTTGTCTCATATGGCCAAGCTGTGGCACACATCTCGCTCAATCTCTCTCTCTTTTCTTTCTTTCTAACTCTCTAATCCCTTTAGATGTGATCCAAGGACAAATATGAATTCAAATTCTAAAAGGTGCAGTGAGCATGAATTATGCCAACAACAAGAAGAGGGGCAACATAAGAAGAATAATCAAGGATTAAGTTTGGTCAGGCTAAGTCTCAATCGATGCAGTCAAAATGACCAGAAGTCCGGACGACCGTATGCCAATACGCCAGAAGTCTAGATGACCAAAAGTCTAGACGCCCAAAAATCTAGACAATCAGAAGACTGTACGATTACAGGTCGAGACGACAGGAAGTATGGACTTCCATCAGTCGAGATGACCGAAAATGTGGACGACCAAAAGTTTGGATGACAAGAAGTTCAAACGACAAGAAGTCCAGATGATCATAAATCTGGACAACCAGAAGTCCAAACGACCAGAGAAGCCTGGATGACCAAAATTTGGGCCCCCAAAAGTCCATACTACCATAAGTCTGGATGACCAAAAATCTGGACGACCATAAGTTTTGAAGACCAAAAATTTGGACAACAAGGAGTACAGACAACCAGAACTTTGGATAACCATAAGTTCAGACGACAAAAATTTGGGATGATCAGAAGCCCATATGATAAGAAGTTCAGGTGATTAGTAGTCCAAGACGAACCCACATCAATAAAAATGTGTTTTAGATTCAGCTTTTATGTGCTCCATTCATAAAAATGATAGATAAAACATTACTAATTAAGCGCCTGCCTAGAGGTCTGACAAATGCTTAGGGACTCGTGGAGTTCATGCAAGTAATTGTCAAAATCAGACTAATACTACAAGAATTTGAACCCTAGCAGTAAGACTAACAGCAGCACCAGACACTCGGTCAAAATCAAGCTTCAAGCTTGACTGGCAGGGACAACTAATCTCCGACTAGCTAGACGCATAAAAACTGAATAAATACCAAAAATCATATCACCTAGCTCGACATAAGTTTAGCTTTGAAGATGGTTCCCCACTTATCAATGACAAGTTTTACATTGAGTGGCGTGTAAATCATCCTGACGATGAGTCTCGTTGCTTAGAAGATATCGATAAGATTTGCACCTGGTGAAAGAAGAGTGCCAACTGAATAGCCTACTTAACTGAACAAAAGAGATATATATAGTATATGACTGGAGTCTGACGGTGTACACAACAAATCCAATAAAAATACTCTCCTAATAGATAAGCTATCAATCGCCACAAGCATGCCACAAGCAATAAACGACAAAGAAAGTGTAGTAAAGGTAAAATAAGAAGTGAAACCGCATGATAACTCCACTATATTTTTGAAAAACTTCCATAGAATTTCAAGTACATTTACTCACAAATGTCAAAAAAAAAAAAAAAGATATTTCCTCTAAATTATATAACGCCGGCAACCATGCCAAATCATTTAGAATAAAAAACAGCGATCGAGCTAGAGGCTTGTAAAGCCTGGTCGACGGAGCCGATCTCATCGACCTGAAGACCTTAAGAGAGCATTTTAGAGTAATAAAAAATGAAAAAAGTTCATATTCAATTATCAATTAAGAGTGGATGCGATACAATTTTGTTTACATTAAAATTCTCTAATTCTTATAATAGCTTCTTCTTCAAAAGATAAGTGAAACGGGTGAACTAAAATATATATAACAAAAAAAGTGTCAGACTGAAACTCTGAAGGGGCGACCTAGCCATGACGACCGACCGACCCCACCTGGATGACGGACCAACAGCCTGAACGATCGACCCAGCATGGACATCTGATCGACGGCCTGGATAACTTATCCAGCCTGGATGATAAAGTCATATTTGAATGGCCGACCGATAGTATGGAAGATCGAACCAAACTGGACAACTGATCCAACTTGGATGACCGACTGATAGCCTGGACGAGCCTGAAGTTAGCTAAGCCATGAGCCAAATTATGTAAAATATCCAAAATAACATGTACAACCATCATTAAAATCAGGTGAGTGGTGTAATTTTCATTTATTGCACTCCCTCTACTATAAATATAGAGAATTTTTCATGTAAGTGGGACTTTTGGCTCTCCTTTCCCCATATATCAAAAATATTTTATTATATAAATTGGGCCACGAGAGCCCGCAAATGACTAGCGGCTTTTTTGGGTGAATTTAATTGCTTGGCTGAAAAAAATAGTTTACGGGTTGACTTGTGTTGGGCGTCGGTCGTACTCAATGACCTTTGTATGAACTTCAACTCAGTTCCCCAAGCATCATCGAATTTGAGATTATACATTTGGTCAGAAAATTTCACATGAATTTAAATAGGAAAAAAAAAGTGATATAATCGGCTGGATCTAATTGTCTTTTATAAGATCATGAATCCAAAAACTAGAATAGTTATGGTGGGCCGACTTCAAAAATTTGTCAGAAGAATAAATTCTTTGGTTGGCACAACGCTTCAATACAGCCAATGCAGCAAGTGAAACAAAAAAAAAAAGAGAACACACTATAGCAAAACAAAATACAAGGTTTTATGCAGCAAGTGAAACGAAAAGGATGCGATAGAAGCATCGCAGTGGCTCCTGCAATTACGCCGCGATACAGATACAGCATATACGACGCACACTTCACGCACTACATATTCATTCATTATTTATATTCATCAAAAAGTTTACGAGAACTGATCCACTTACCAGTGGACGCCACGTGGCATCTGAACCGGGCTCACTTTTGGTCCTCCGGATCGACGTCATCAACGTCGAATTGTCGAAACCAGACGGTCTCGTCCAGCGCCGACGGACCGCGATTACCAGATTCCGGCGGCTCAGAGCGGCCACGGCCGCAGCCGGCCCCGGCCGCCGCCTTTGGCGACGACACCGGCTTTCGGATCGTCGGGGCCAAAGACGCCGGTTGCGGGATTGGGGCCCCAGTACTTCTCAGATTGGGTTCCGATCACATAGTCAGGCACCTCGACCGGGTTCACTTGCTCCTCGATCTCCTTATCATAGTTGGAACCCCAGAACTTCTCCGATTGGGTTCGAATCACATAGTCAGGCACCTTGACCGGGTTCACTTGCTCCTCGATGTCTTTATCATAGTTGGAACCGGAGTGCGATGCCCTCCTGTTCGAACTTATTTTTCATATAATATGTAAGGTAATATAAAAAGAAATAGAAGGAAAGAAAAAGATTTTTTAAATTGACAAGTGAATGAAAAATAGATTTCAAAATTTTAAGTATTTTTTATTAATTCTATGTAATAATTAGAATTATACTTTATATATTTAAAAATATTTATCGATTTCAAATGAACGTTATTTTCTAAACATATTCAAGCATACAACAAATTAATTGGATAACTGGTTAAAATACTAATTATACATTATATTTCCATTTAACTATCTCACATCCGCTCGACCGCTCTTAATGATTAAATAGTCAATTGTCAACAAAATAGCCATCAATCAATTATTAATTACCTATTCATTGTATAGTAATAATATTTTAAAGCTATTTTAAAATACTTAGTACTGCGAGTTCCCAAATTAGTAAGTCTAATTAATCTACTAAATACAGTTATAATTAAATAACTTGCCAAATAATTTATAGAGACAACTACAAACAAAAAAATATTTTTTTTTATTAACACAGGTAGGGTCGGAACAAGATTATGCTCAGCGCCCACCTGAAATTTATAATTTATATAGAGAAATTATAAAATTAAATATTTTTTCTTGCGTAGTCGGTCAATTAAAATAATTCTTTAGTGTTGCAGTCTTGTATTTTTATAAATGGTGTGAAAAAGTGTATTTATAACTACTCTTATATTTTAAAATTTTTAATAAATACTGAGTATTTGGTGTTCTTTCCACAAATGCCCTTCATTAGCGGATAATATCTACGAATTTTTGTGGCCTTGAAAGTTTAGACGAAGCAGGGAGGGAAAGCAAGAGCTGAGGAAATTCGAGGATAGAAACCAGTAACCTTGTAATTTTTTCTGGGAATTTGATTCGTATGAAGTAAAAAATTAGCGTATAAGATAGCAGTAAAAAGCAAAAAATGCCCCAAAAAAATCCCAGTCACAAGCACTTCAATTAGCGGAGGATTTAGGGTATTGGGAATATGTGAATCCTGATGGCTGAGACATTAACAGAATGTCGTCTAGTTTGCCATGGAGAAAGGTATTGGAAGAATCAAGTTGAGGTACTGGTCATCTATGTGTGATTGCCATGTTGAGAAGGATGCGAATAATGGAAAATTTGTCCTAGTCATGATGTTGTATGAAACTCTGAGCTACGAGTCGATGTATAATTCCATTTGAGAGAAGGTAATTTCAAAACTAATGTGAGGTGTGGAAGCAACTGAGTTGATGTATAATTTTATTTGAGAGAAGGTAATTTTGAAGCTGATGTAAGGTGTATTGGCCTCCTTCAACAGACATGATAAATTTTATTAACACGTGGAATTGAATAAGTATCACATCGTGTAGGCTAATAAAATGTTGAACTGCTCCTGATTTCGTGTACATCAGATAAATCCAACAATAGCTAAATAATGCATAGAAGAGACATAGTATAGTTAGCCATAGAGAGAATGGAAGGGGAAATTTCCCCATACATCTGAGTGAATTAATTCTAAATGCTGATAGGAGTTGGATACGAAGTTTGTGACTTTTGTTGGCATGATAAGCAAATCAAAAAGGAAAAATAGAGAGAATGTGAAAAATTGGGCTGTCTTTGGATATAGAGGCAGAATTTCTTGAATGTGGATGGCCAAGATGTTAGTTTTATTAATTCTAGTTTCCTGTTTTCCTTAATTGCTTACTGCGTTAGTTAATTTCCTAATTACTTGTTAAGGGTGTGCCCCCCCTAAGTAAGTTACAGCCACGAACGCTTTCCTCTATAGGAGAGTGGAGACAGGAGTGTAGAGCAGAAAATTTGTTATTCTCGTTTTGAATTATTGAAATTTCTTTTTTCCTTCTTCTTCCCTGTTGTGCTTCTGCCGGGTTTCCTGCTCTTCAATCAGATTCTGCATCAGAGCATGATGACTTCATGGTCCATGCGTGATCCTGCTACTGTTATATTGCCTACCAGAGTTTTTTACCATGGAGAGATATTGGGACATGTTATTGGTTCCCATTGAAATGTGGTGAAGCTCATTAATGAGCTGAATTATCCTAGATCTATTGATGACTGAGTCTTCTTTCCACTGTAGTCATAATGGTTGAGGTGTTTAGTAGGTGTGATGCTTATGGTAAAATGAGATTAAATATGGTGGAGAGGAGGGTTGTAGCAATTTTTTTGTCGATGAAATATAAGTGTGTGAGCTGGATTGATTCCTGGGAATTGTCATTGGTGAGGAGTTTGGGTAAGCGGACTGTTGTTCCATCCAGGAATAATTCAAAACAGTTGGCGGTGAAAAGCTTGAGAATCTGAGCTTTCAAAACCTAATAGTTTTGATTGGAGAGGGTAGAGATTGAGATAGTTTTGCTATTTGACTATAGGAATTTTAGTGAGGCTGATACGCTTATTTTAGTCATTTTGGTAAGAGATTGTCTGGATTTTTTGGCTGATTAGTGCTGGAGACGAGGAGGTTAAATCCATGGGAAGCTGATGGGAGAGCAGTACACTATGGTTCTGATAACATAAACAGAATAGGGGAGAGAACAGAAGATATGACGAGCAGCAGATCAGCCTAATTACAGAGCTAATAAAACTACAGTATACCATCACTGTAAATGTATTATTGAGGTTCACTCAGTTGCGTGTACAGTGTGTGTATATATAGATGGTGATAGGGTTATAATAGGGAATTATCAGGGTTAGATTGGGTGGTGTAGATGAGATTGGTTTGTTGGGTATCCACGGCTGAGGTTTTGGCAGTTGTGGGGGGACCGCAAGGCTCAAGTGATGTTGACAGTGGTGAAAATTCATTCTCTGGAGGATTTTTGTCTGGCAGATTAAACGAAGGTGTAAAACCTGAACGGCTCAGAAAAATTGTCCTAGAAAACTAATCAAATTCACTACCTCAAAAAATCTTCTGATTGTCGAACATCAATCGGCAAAAGAAAGTCTTCAGATCAACCACCACTGAAAAAAATCCGATTAGAAACACGTTAACTCATCATCATCACTAAGACGGTATATCCCAAAAGAGCGGCTGGGGTTTC